CACTTTTGTATTGAAAATATTGCTAGAATCTGGGAAAACAGTATGGAACATATTCTTACTTCTACGAGTGGTCTTTGCCACTATTCTGAAGGACTGGGATCACATAGTGGATATGACATCTCCAAAGAAACATCTAACAGGATGTTTCTAGGATGGTTCCTATGGACTATCACCTACCAGACTCTGAAATTTCATTGCTTTTAAAGGAAAAGTTTAAGTTGTGACCAAACTTCTTCTGAGCTGTAAGTGAAAATTTCTTCCAAGGAAAGTGCAATCAACTCATTATAATGCACACATAAAATTATGATAATGATAATGTATTTATTTCTATACAGGGAGGATAAGATGGTCTAGGATTAGGGCCTTCCTCAAAAAAATTACCTTTTAAAACTGCTAGTTGTATCCAGGGATGCTACCTGGTAACTACATCAGCATGCATGCGTGTGGCTCTATTGCCTGCCTGTGTCTGTGATGATTAAATAAATACTTCAGCTATTCATGCTAAGTGTTTGACTGTTAGAAAAAGCACTGCCCTAAACACTACTATTCACTACGGTGGTGTTAACCTTACTTTTAGATTTGCCTGCTAACAACTGCAATCAACTGCCTTTTAAGTTGATTTGTCCATTTGGGACAATTTAGAAAATTTAGCTTTATGGTTTTCAAATATCATATAACACTTAGATAGACCAGGTCCCTGGCTTCCAGATCCAGAGATCTGATTAGATTTCAGTACATAATTAGCCTTAGAATGTAATTCTAAGCAGCATTCACACACTCTCTGAACATGTGCTGCTATATACGTGTACATTTAGTGGTCTGCTTATTCAGTCAAATTTCACAGAGCCCCAATGAACCTGAAAAAAATTCTTTTTTAGAAGCGAGCTAAGATGAGAACATTGTTCTCAACTGGACAATATTGCAGATTAGAGTGTAAGAATGGACATGAAACAACAACAGAGGCCATGAAGTGTTAAAGCATTTTTGTCTAGTCTATGAAAAACAGGCRTATGTGGAAATCGTATGTACAATATGCAATGATTGACTTACAGTACTGCCCATGAAAGTCTCATCAGAGACTTTCAATACAAAGATTTTTTMATGTAGAGACTATAATGCAAAGGTCTCCGCATTATCTGCTCAGTCATCTCAGATTTGATGGAAAAAACATCTCTTGTGCCACTGCAGTTTTGCATTTTCCATCTTGTTATAAAGTGCACTGCTATGGAGTTCACAGGTAGGCAGTTCTGGATTCCAGGAAAACTTTCTGTTTCCTCAACATGGCAAAAAGAGATTTTAGTACTAAAGTGGTTGGGTGGATATTTAAATYGAGCTGTGGGAAAATGCAACAGAGTGAGACTATTTAAATGACATTGTGAGAACTTCCTCACTGATATGCTTGAATGCTAAATTGGTGGAGCCATTGTACCTGTAGAAGTAAAAGGGTGATTTAGTTTTCTTTCCCAGAAAAACATGATCTATGGCTAAAAGTCTTACAATGTTATTTTTTTTTAATAATGAGCACAATTCTCACCAGCAAGAAACTGCTGCCAATTTTAAATGATAAACTAGAACTAAACGAAAGTTCACTACTCTTTAATATTCTTTATATTCTTGAAATCTTGAACGGAGTAACAGCAAGTCTGATCCAGGAAAGAAAATGCAGAGTGTAGGCAAAAAAAAAAAAAAAAAAAAAAAAAAAAACCAAGAAGGCAAAAAAAAGAGAAACACCAAGGAAGCCACATTTATCATGTACTTAAAAGTCATGCAAAGGAAAATCAGTTCACAAGGCATCAGTACCTTCTGAGAATTATTTTCCTCAAACAAACAAATGAACAGTTAAAAATTTAACTCAGTTATCATTAACTATGCAGTAATCWTTTAGTTACGTGCCTCTGCTCAAGTATCTGAAGATCTATACTATCAACCTGTACATGAGTAACTTTGATATAATAAATCAATTGCATATTTATCTGAAAAAAAAAACATAATTTTAAACATAAAAAACACCTATATTTCTTTTTTCTTTTTATCTTCCATGAGGCAAAAGAGAATAAAATTAAAAACAAACCCTCTGTTCAGCAGTCAGGTCATGATGACACAGAGCAGCACAAAACAGTAAATCTAGCAGTGCTGACAATCTAGCCTGGCAGTATATACAAAGGCTGTTGAGGCATGGAAAGTTGGGAAGGCTTTGGACATTGGCTCTGCGGCTGCGAGCTGATTTATCCGAAGGAAAGAAAGGTCAGCCTGCCACCAACGGCATGTGAGACAACAACTGCCCGGCTGAAAGGGGAAGCGCAGCCCATTGCTCTCCCACTCCAGGGATAAGCTAACCTTAGCTTGGGGCAGGTAGGAGAGGATGGGAGGAAAGGATTCCTACAGATACTGCAGTTATGCTGCTGATATGCCACTGATGATAAGAGTAAAGATTTGTTTGTAGATAGGAATGCTGTGAAGCAGCTGGACTTCGCAATAAAACCCAGTTATTGGCAGGTGTTCTGTCAAAAAAAATCCCCCCAAATTACATGAGTTTTAACTTTAAAAAACCCTGAAGTTTAGTTACTGTCATTTATTGTAATGCTTGCGTGCTTGACACTTGCTCTTTGATTCCGCTTTGCAGAAGCAAAATACCTTTCTTATCCTTCTGTTGGCTTCCTAGTTCAATCTAATCATTGAGAGAGAYGCTTGTATAGCTTAGAAAAAGCAAAAGAGAACTAAAGCACCAAGGCCATGACCATTCAGAAAACACAAACTGAATGCTCATCTTGCTCTTCTCCATGTAACACTAGAGAATAAAACTGCAGTGCAGCTGAAGGAACAGCTGGAGCACAAAAAAAATGTGGGCTTCRGTTTATTACCCAGACATATAACAAGCCTGTTCCAAAACCTCACAAAATCATTTGAAAGATTCCCAGCCTACATTTGCTTAGGTCATGGAACAGCTGTTAACAAGCAACATCCTCCCTCCCCAAATGAATGTGAGAAATGTTGATCCAGCTGAGATCCCTGAAGGCCTGAGTTATGTGTCTGACCTCTCGAGTGGCTGTGGCCGAGGCAGGTAGGACCGCAGAACATCTCCAGGCCACGTGTAGGAGGGTGGCCCAACCGGGTGCTGGACGTTCCTCATCCTCTGGCCTGCACTGCTCCGGTTTGCCAATTCCAAGCACAGCTCAGGCTGCTCCAGTTTAATCTTCAGAACAGTCTTAAAAAGCTATAAATACTTTTGAACGTGTCCTGGCTCTAAAAGCTGAATAATGAAGGTAGGGATCAAAGAAGGCAGCTGAAGACTTTGTGGTTTTGTTTGTGGGTTGCACTTAAATATTAGRAGGCAATGCTGAGGCCTTGGGTCAAAAATGCATGAACTGTACATTACAGAAAAGGCTTAGCTTGAGGCAGAGCTTGCATAATTTTATATAAGATTTAATAACTTCCAGTGTCCTGAGAGAAAAATGAAATTATGTCTGAAATCTAAAGAAAAATGACAAGCTCTTGTACACAGGACTAATATATTGATAAATGTAATCAGGAACATCATAAATGCCAGAACGAGAACTTTCTTTGTCCACCAAAATTTCTTACTATTGGGATGAAAAATGGAACATGAGAAGATGCAGCTTTTTTATACCCAGTTCAATATATACAAAAGCATTACAAGTTGTTTAATTGGACCAATTTGTAAACTTCAGGTTAAAAAATGCCTTAATCTTGGTGCAAATATAGAAGCAGAGAGAAATACAGAAAAGTGAAAAGCCTTAAACTCTAAAAAATGCCTACAGAAAACCAGTTTGCTGCTAGTTCTCTGCATATGGCTGCAGTGCTGCAAAACCACAGCACCTGAAATGTCTGCAGGAGAAGAAAAAAATCTTGTGATTACTGTAAATGGTAGCAGTATAATTGGAAGAAAATGATGGTACGAAAACAGAGATTAAATGCAGTTTTAGAAACTGAGCTCAAAGCTGGAAGATCTCAAATTAATATAGTTTTGTCTAACTTCAGACAATAATGAACACAGGATTTTCAAAAGATAGAGCAGCCACATTTAGCCAAACTCTTCCTGAAAGCCTTGTGCAGTGRGTTATTTATCATGATCATGATCATGATACTCTGGGCTTTTTTTCTGAGATAGGGATCTTCAAGAAATAAAATTGCTATTTATTTGTTATTTATTCCCCAAAGACGTCTGATCTTTCTTTTGGATGATGCCTTTGAGACAAACACGTAGTATTTCAGAGTAAGCTGCCACGCTTKTGGGACACGGTGACATGGCAGACACTTGGAACAAATTGTAGGAACTGAGTGAAAGGCAGATGCAGTTTGACCTAGGGCATTCTTAAGGCAAGCATATTGACTCTTCCATTTTCTAATTTCAGAATTAGGATGTCAAGGAGTAATTTTTAGTGTGGGAAGTTTCTGTTAACATGCTAYAGTTTCTGTAAACAATAATGTTGGTTTATTGAATGGTAAATCATATGGCAATGTTTAACTTACCAGAGAATGTATGAAAAAAAATGTTATACAAAAGCAGGATGGTTGTAATCAACAACAATTTTTTTTAATCTAAGCTCCACACTTACTGAAGGCAACCACAAATAAAAATCAAGAAACTAAAGCCTCGTTTATTTCTAGAGCTGAAATAAAGATTTTGGCGTTATTTATTAGAACATAATTGCTTTAAAGAGAAGAGTTAAAAGCCAGACTGTATTGAAAAAAATGGTTGTTTCTTGGCAGTTAAAAATCATGACCCTAGTCAACTAGCAGGAAAGTCTGATTATGCCATTCTATCTAGGAATGCTTCTTTTCCCCAGCCCTAGTGGATTTGTATTACTATGTGAGAGGCTGAAAAGTTTTTATTCCCATTTGTAGCATAGCTTTTTTTCCAGGGCGGCTTTAGGAAATRATGAATAACAAAGACTTCTTTAGACCTACATTTTAGATGATAGTTCTCAGCATTTCTTTTTTAAAGCGTTAGGACAAAATCTTTATAACAAGAAAAATCACTTAAACTCATTTTAATGAGCATCACCCTGATTTAACAAGGAATACTGGACTTCTATCCAGCAGGGCTGCCGCTGTGCTTTGCTCCCCTGACAAGGATATTTCTATACCCATGGTTACCTGCACATGACTTGATGGATGTATCCAACATGTAAGGGCAGAAGAGCCCCAGTGCGTAGCCGCCAAGAACCCCACTATGACCCACTGTCCCCTCCACTGCTGAAGGACCATTTTTACCAACTGTCAAAAGTATCTCATATTGTAATATCCTTACGAATTCTTTTGAGGCTGTAACCATTTCTCTTTTGCTCAAATATATCTATAGTTGAGTGCTTCAGATCTATGAGTTGTTTCAAATGCAACCCTAAGGCAAAAATATCAGCATATTATCATTCTTCAGTGAAATATTTCATTTCCATGGTAAAATATGACAATSCCCTTGAACAAATAAAGCTAATTTAGTTCAATTTCTCTTTTACAGTTATCCAAATTATAACAGCATGCCTTTAAAGCATAAAATATTTACCTCTACAAAATGGTAACAAAATGAGCCTGATGTGTATCAAAAACATTGTAGTCATATTTTCCATTTCTTTTTTGCATTTAATCTCTCTACAATTTGATGTTAATGGTTGTTTGAGTATTTAACATTAAGATTCAAAGCATTAAGATTATTAAGAGTTGTACTCTGTGAAAACACTTCTATTTAAAGTTTCTGAAATACAGAATTTTAAAGTTGCCAAATTTAAGATTACAGCTAAGTGATTTAGCTTTAGCAAATGCCAAACTTTAAAGAAAAGTAGCACAAACTAAAGCTGAGTGTGTTTGCATACACATTATTTCTGGCGTAGCACACACGGACATGCTCATAAGTTTGCCAATTTTTGAAGAAGAATTGCRCTGAATGGTGCAAAACCAGCACACTGACCTCACAATTTCAATGCAGGATGAGCACAGACAAAAATATGACTGTATGTTTGTTGCTAGCATTTTAGTTACTCAAGAAGATACCACTGTGACATCTACTTAGAGCTGGAGAGCTTATTTTGAGAGGATACTTATGTGAGGCAGGTTACTAAGTAAAAAGTGAAATATCCATGAGAAAACGTGGGCAATATATATATTTTAATTTCTTAAAAATATTTAGTATTACACACATGCCCACAGGTACCCATGCACATAATGTATTAAAAAGTTTACACCATGTCATATAAGAACTTTGAAAGTGTATAATATGTAAGAAAAATGTATAACTGTTCTTAGAAATCTGAAAGCTGCTTTCATTATCATTCGTATGCACAGGTGAAGAGCCATCTAGCCAAGTTTACAAAACGTTTCTTAAGACTGTTGTGATTTTTGCAGTAAAAGGAATCAAGAACTCACAATATGTACATCAAACTTACATGGTCGTGTATGTTACAAGTATAAAGCAATAGGTAGGGTATGTATGACAAATATACTGAAGTCCTGACATTGCAAAATCTTGACCAAAATAAACAAACAAAACAGTGACCCAGAAATCATCTCTATGATAAGAGAAAAGACATTTCACTTTTTGTGAAAGAGAAGAGGTTTCACCATCCCTGCCAGAATCTTGGGGAGCTGCGCAGCGATCACCTCTGACATCATCTCGGGGAATTCAACACTTAGTGCACGGGACTGCAGAAAGGTGTTCAGACAGAAGAGATGGAGCTGTTTCACTAGCTGAATTTAATAAAATACAAACAGGATAAATCAGGCTAACAGTATAGTCAGATAAACATGCTGTTCATCACTATCACATCTTCTATTTTATCCCGATGTTCAACATGTTTTGATGCTACATTTACCGCATGCCATCCACATACCACTTTGAGGAGATAATTTGTTACTTCCTTGTGAGCTTTTCCATGGTTCTGATTATGGTCATATTTAGGTAGGTCACAAGCATTAAACTTCAGGTCCCTGCCTTTCCAAAGCAATTGCCTAAAAAAATTCACTCTTTCACCTCTTTTCTCTTCCTTAATTGAAAAGTTTCAAGTTTATAGCAGGTTTTCTTTTACCTTTGTGTCCTTMATGTTATCAAAGATCATATTATGTCTTTTACCACAGATCTTTATACTATGCAGTTCCTCCGAGTGATCTTTCTCCTACCTCTCTCACCTCTGTCAGACAAGGTTGGAATAGGAACTTGAATTAAGATGCTGTATGTCCCACACACTATGGTAACCGTCACTCTGCGTGATGATAATTTGTTACAAAGCCTCACTCACTTGTTCCCATTGAGGCTACTGTGCCTAAGTATTTGAAATGAAGAGACTGACCTACAGCCTACTGGATACTACGAGGCTCCTATCACAAATTCTACAAGTCAGGAAAGGCCTTTTRTCCCAAGAATGATACACCAAACAGGTTCCTTGAGCACAGGGCTACTTTGAATAATACACTGGATAGGACTTTGGTTTTGCAAGGGTAAGGTGACTGAATTCCAGTTGCAGGGAAGGGTTTGGCACTGGCAGTGCCAAGCAAAGCCTGGAGTCCAACTACCATTTAATACTTGAAGTTGAGTCCCTTCTCCTGGTCAGTATTCTCCACTGTCTTCCTTAGAATGCAAGGATGCTTTTCTTATTTGTTTCGTTCTCCTTGTGCTCCTATCTGAGAATGTATAATACTTAAACTGTGCTTTCTGTGGATTGTGGCTGGCAGAAGTGGTCAAGAGGTTTGTGCAGTGKATGAAAAGATTCTGGACTAGTTGGTGAAACACATAATTATCACTCTTGTTAAACTCTCTTAATCTAATAAATAAGCTCTTCAAGCTATTGTTTTTTTTCTCCTATCAAAATGAGAAATTAGTGGTAATAAAAGATTTTAGATGAATATCTATTTATTCACAAAGAATGAAAATAAAATGTAGATCTGGTGAACACATAAGAATGTAAACAAGTAAAGACACCATCCCTCCCTGAGATTCTAAATTCCTCTCAGCCAGCACAGAACTCAAAAGGAGTCTTCCTAGTCTGTCTTAATGTGTTCCTCAAGTACTTGCTAAAAATGTCAAGAGTTGCCCTGGACCTCTGATTTTGTCTGTCTTGTAGAGACAGCTATTACAAAACAATATTCACATGGATACAGGTTGTTATAGAATGTTATTCATTCCTCAGTATTAATAAATCCTTAGTATTAATAAATCCTAAGGCTCAGGGATTTGAAAAGGGTTCGGTTTCATCTTTTAAAACCCTTAAGAATTTCTATTTCATTATTAGAGCTATCAAAGTTTAGTAGTATAGACAAAAGCTTAATAAATGCTTACAATATAYATGGACTAGTAGTTCAATTATGGTTGGAAAATGATCTCAATGATCTCTCCCTAATTCTTAGTAATCTGACTTTAAAAGTTTAATTGTCTACTCTTCAGGCATTATTTTTTAGGCATTCACTAACATATATACACATAGATAGATCCCTGCCAACAAACATATAGCAGAAACAGTACCACATTGAAACGTATTTCTCATATACTTAAATCTTGTATACCATCTTGTATGCATGCATTTATTATTAAATGCATACATATTCACACAGATATACAAAAAGAAAATTCTAGTTGTAATATTTTTCATTTAGAAATGTTGACTTGTCTCTTTATCTTTCTATAAAATTACTTTTAAGGCTTATTACTTCCTTCTGACATAAAAAGTAAAACCAATTAACAAGTTAACTTACATCATGCATGGAATCCATCAGTTTTGTAAGCTGATAAAAGCGTTGTGAGTTGGCCACGACGCCCTTCTGGCGCAAGCCAATTGCCTTCACCAGTTCTCTAATGTAGCTCGTTCTCATCTCATCAAATTGGCTTTGACTTCTTAGACCTTCCAAAGGAACTAAAAAAGAAGTAACATTTTGCTTTGCAATTAATTCTTAGCACAGCAAGAGAGATTTAAAATACAGGAGCAGTTTATACTGTATTTTACACTGTATTCTTTATTATTATATAGCATATATATTATTATATATTATTATCTTGTTAGCAGTGACTGCAGAAACAGTGATAACCTACAGTTAAAAGGATATATCAATGACATACTGTCAACTGCTGATTTTTAATGTCTCAAAATAGACTTCAACTATATGCTGAATAGAGAAGGGCCAGAAGGACCRCTCCCGACCTTAGAAAAAGTGTCATGGATCACGTTTACAATGATGAGGAAGAGACCTCTTTATAGCAGATTTATCTTCAGGAGATCAGCTGAGCAGTTCAAAATGGAGTCAAGGAATGAACTGACTACTTACAATCAGTGCAGGTGGTAAGGGATCCAGGGCTCAGATTTACTGTTTGGACCTTTTTTAGTTAATACAATAAATATGCTCTCAGAGTATCAGTCATGGATAGCTTGTTGGATACAGCAAAAGGAGCAAATKGCTTAAATTACTCTTAAGTGAAAGTTTTGATGACCAAAATGAAGATAGGGAGAAAACCTCAGGAAACAAACCTCTTAGTGACTTCTAGTGACAGGATCATATCTGATTGTTGATGACAACTGTTGGTGGTATTGTGAAGAAAGAGGAATAAGCTACCACCACTACTTTCCTTGATTTGGAAGTCATCTACAATCTTATGAGATATGTTGTCAAAGACCCATTAGAAAAYTTGAAAAGATATTCCCATTTTGCAATCAAATCCTTTTTTTTTTTTTTTTAATAGTAATCATTTCTTAAACATGGGCTTGTTTCAAACATACTCTTAAAAAGAACATTTCTTCCCCTTTTCTTTCTCTCCTGCTAATGACAATTCATACTGCGTGTCATATTTGACATTYCACAGTATGGCAGCAAATGTAAGGAGAAAGATTTACCTCACCAAACTTTACACATTTACAGTGAAGGCATCTTCATCTGAGCTAGTGGCAAAGCTGCCTGTATTTTTAATGGGGAAAATCAGGCAAGTCCAGAGTACAAGGATGTTTTAGAAGTAGGTTTAGAAAGAGATGAATTTCATTTCACAGATCCTGTTTCTGAGATGAAGGTAGAGGAGAAAGATATTCTTTCAGGTTCTTTCAGGCAAACACAAAATCATTTTCCCTGAAGTCCAGAAAKAGGTAACAAAGCAGAAGTTCAAATCTCTACCTTAATAATCTCATTTCCTAGAAAACTGCCCAAGAGATGAGACAATCAAGTTTGCAAAGGACGGTGCTTCTTCAAAGGAAAGTCTAGGACAAGGGGGTAGATGAACAAACCCGAAATTGCAAGTTTACTATCAAGCAAGTAGGACAACTACTGAAGCACATAGCTGTGTTATAGGAGTCAAGGTCTGACACCCTACCTAAAAGTAAATTTAAATCAAAATACAAAATAAGAATTGTGAAAGGTTTTACAGAAAGCAGACTCATCCCAAAATACCTAATAATAATCCAATGTGTTGGTCTTGTTAGTCTGCTTCAACAGCTGATGAAGACTAAATGCTAAACCAGGTGGAACTTTGATTTGTCTCATTATGGCCTTTCAAATCCAAGGAGGAAAAGGAGGTATGTGAATGTTAAAAAGATTAAATTAAAAGATCTCTTCCAGCAATGTATGGTCTGTTTCATTATAATTCTGCAAAAACAGTCACATGTGTATTCTATAATCACAATAAGCACCACCAAGTTATCTATTTAAGTGCAGAATTAGAAGATTTTGCRTTCATAAATTTAAATTTTAATAAAGGTGAATCAAATGTGCCATTTCTTTGAATATACATGAAAAATGCTGCTGCCTTTACTCATTGGCAACAACCTAGCAAAAAGATCATGCAATTCTTGAAAATTAAAGAGTCTGGAAAATGTTAAACCTAGAACTGACCTTATTATACGCTTTTTCTTTTTTCTTTCTTTTTTTTTTTTTTTTGGAGCTCTCCTTTCTTTAATTATATCTTTTTGAACCGTCCATAATAATAACTCCTAGATATGTGTGACCTTTCTTAGATAAAACACTATTTAACATGTCTGAGGCATTATTAAAACACAGCATATTACATGTAGTAAATAAGGAATTATAAAAGGAAGAAATTGTAGAAAATAAAAAGTTGTTCCACCTTCTGCAAAGATTTCTTGATCTTTCAAGACAGCTTTAAAACTGTCACAAGTACAGTAGAAAAGAAAGAATGGCTAAGCTACAGCAAACTGAGGGGAAAATGGCAAATATGAAATGAATGTTAAAATGTGGGTTGGCATTTCCATTCAGCATTAGAAACGTATTGATCATTTCTATAGCATTATCATTTACTCATGTTTAATACAAACTATTGTTTCTTTGAAATTATATAAAGAGCAAAAATTAGTTAATCTAAGTAATAAATTATAAAACAGAACAAAAGGCTGAAATTTGGAGTAGGATTTACTGTTAGGATACGAGAGTTTGAAATAGTCATACTGTCACAAGTGAAGAGGTTTAGGGTGATTACTATGAGTAGAATAATAAAACTCTTAAACAAACACTTTAGAGAAATAATTAGGTTGTATTTTTTAAGCACAGTTTTGTGGAAAGTATTAAATTTATACAGCCCAAAGTTTCCTACATGTCTCAGCAACAATGGTTAGGTGGGCTCCTTTTCCCAAAGATCTCAAAGACAAATTATCTTCCTGTAAGACAGTAAGTGCAGGAGAGAACAAAAAGCAAAACTCATCAGTATTAGCATAAGTGTTATTTTTTAAAAATATTTTATTGCTTATAATCTTAGAAATTATTTTCTGACAAGAATGCAATTGATAAAAAATGGTAGCTTGATCAATACTGATGCCTTCATATTYGAGAGGGAGTGGACCTTTGCACTATTTAAATATATATATATATATGTATATATATGATTTGAGCTTTGTTGAAATATAGTGGAAAGCTGAAATATCACAAGTGTATCTAAACTTCACTGAAATATAAGACTTTTCTCTAATGGTCATACAAATATGGGAGTTCTTTCAGTGAGGAAAAATGTGAGGTGGAATCCATTTAAAATAAGAACACATTCAATACCCTACAATTCCAGGAAAGCAAGTGTAGTTATATCAGGCAGGAATYTTGGTCCACACTATTTTTATTGCATTAGCAGTGTCTGTTCATTATTTTAGCAACTTTCATATTTAAGTGAGCTAACATTAGATTCTGTTGATGACTAATATTTTATCATGAGTTAGGCAAAGACCAGCCAAGAATATCTTAAGAAGGAATAAATTTTAATTCTTTATCTTCTTTATCTTTTACTGAAACTTTGCACAACCAGCAAATAGACTATTCAGAATTCACGTCTCCTCTCTCACTCAGTATGCATATAGAGAAACAAACCTCAGCATTCTTACAAATACAATTTTAGAAGTTGCATAAGTCTCATTTCTAATAACAGCTGTATCATCTAAGGATTCATCACTGACAATTACACTCTCACCAGATGTACTTCTTAGCATTTTACAAAGGATTTCAGAAGAGAACTTCATGCACTTCCATATTACCCAATTAAAGTGAATACCACTGTATGCATTGGGATCTTAAAAAGACATGAATGATTATAGTGATCACACACTTGTCCTTGAATAAAAAACTAAATTCAACAACACTTTCATTTGTTGATATCTGAGCTAAGCTTGACCACTTTACAAATAGAAGAAGTTGAATAAACATTAGTACTGCTGGACTTTTTTTTTTTTTTTTTTTTTTTGAGTAAACATGCTTTAACTTCTTGGTCAGGATAAAGCCCTGGGTCAACAACTCTGACAATTTATTAAATACTTGTTTGTATTTATAATATTGGTAAGAGAGGGTTGTATGTTCAGTCTCATKTAAACTAAAGAGTTTTCTGGATAAAATAAGTCACAGAATCACAGAATGGTTGAAGTTGGAAGAGACCTCTAGAGATCATCCAGTCCAACCTCTCTGCTCAAGCAGGGACACCTAGAGCATGGGGCACTGGGTTACAGTCAGAAGAGTTTGGAAGATCTCCAGAGAAGAAGACTCCACAATCTCTCAATTGCTTAGAAAATGTACAATACAATCTAACTGGATCTAACATTTCTCCAGTGTAACACAGAACAAACACAACAACGAAGTATAGTTTTTTTGGTCCTTATAAATATTCAATRAAATATTTTTAGGTCTTGGAAGAATTTTCTTTGTCCTAAAGTTTTTCATTTATTAGACCAAACAGCTTAGCAATTTTCAAGTTAAACAATATCATCCAGAACTCTAAACTTCCGCTTGTAATATGTTACACAGAAATAAAACAATTTTCTACCTACTTGTATTGAGAAGTAAAAGTGCCTTCATACATAGGAACTCTTCTTGGCTAACTTGAAGTCTGACAAATTCCTGTGGAAGCTGCCACATGGACAGACATAGTGAATAGAACGATGATTCTTTCATCCTCTGTCTTACACCCGGAAAAGGTTAAAAAAGAAAAAAAAAGAAAATAAAGTCTCAGCTTCTAATTGTTTGAAGGAAATATCTTGTTACCATTTTAATTATCACATTACTGWAACTAAGGGAAGAGATTATACCTATAGAGAAAAATAAATTCTGTACTTATATATGTGTTTTTTAATAGTAATGGGTTTGCTATTATTTTGGATATTTACTCTGTTGTTACTGGTCTGAAGAAACCTTGGAGGCTATCATCAAAGCTGAAAGTTAACCACAAAAAAGAGGAGTTTTATTAAAGTAATAATATGTTAAATTTTATATTATTACAAAGTAATAGTGATTTGAAATTGTTTTCTTTTACAAGTTGGCAGGTTTCTTTTTTTATTCTTTGAAAACAGAATGTAAAATTTAAGATTGCCTGTATATCTGGTAGGTTTTATAAACACCTGTCATTGAATTTTGAGAAAATTTATTTAGAATGTATTAAAATATTTTATTGAAAGTCTAAATAATATTTAATCACTAACAGCAATGATACTATTTTGTAACATTTTATAATGTTAAAAATAGTTTAGAATTATTAAATATAAATATAACAAATATTTCTCATATTTTAAACTCTAATATAGCCTTTTTAAAGAAACTATGTAAACAGGACAAATGACATCGGCCTATGTGTAAAATACTAGGGATTTTTTTCAGAATTAGATCCTACTTTTCAATTTGAGATTTTATTAATCAGAATATACTTTGTTTATATATACTTATATTTATCAGGAAGGCCAAGGTTTTCAACTGAAACGACTGCAACAACATCATCCTACAGTTTGTAAATTGAACATGAAGAGCTACTAATTTTTTTTTGAGCTAATTTTATAAAGCTGCATTCTCATCTGAATGAAAAAACAAAGACAAGATTAAATTTTGCCCCATGAGACCAAAGGGAGTTTTGTCCCTGTTTACAAAAGGAATTCTAACCTTGAGAAATTCAGAGCAGGGTTCCAACCTGACTGCAAATATTACTCTCAATAATGACACCATAAGATACTTTCTGTGCCTAAAAGAATCTTTTCAATGTATTGAGGTTTTTCTTTTCTTCTCTGATGTATTCTAAATGTCATTTTATTTTTTTTTCTTTTTCAAATTCTGAACTGTTGCACCAGTTTTGACATGAATTAAATATAATCTTTTGATCTGTTAGATCTGCATGGACATGGTTATTTCCATGTCTAATTTAAATCTTTTAATTCTTTCCTTCTATTTCCTTTTCGTTAGAGGCATCTTAGAAGGGTGATAGAGGCTTTCAACCTTTTGGTATTACTAATATGTTGTACTTGTAGAAACTGGGACCCTTAAGTAACAGAAAAAATCTTTGTAATGCTTTAATATTAATTCATGAAATCTCATCAAACTACTACAGTCCTGGTTTTCTTGTTCGAAGTTGCTGTTACTGAGGAGGTAACTCTCAAAGAGTCACAGAATTGTCTTCTGGACAAATTCTCTCAACAAATATTGGCTGTGAAACAAACTTCAGACTGTAGTTTCATTTCAAAACAACTTAAGTGTGGGTTGCCAGAAGAAGTTTCCATTATCTCCTCCCACCTCTAGGTGTGCACTCCTGTTCTCCCAACATAAGTRCCTGAACACCCATGTATTAGTCAGATCAGCTCCGTCTGAAAATTAATTGCGTTTTCTAGGCATTTTTCAAGTATATGAATTGCCTTCTCTGTTTTACAGTGCAGCCTGTGTTCGGTCCATCCTAAGGCAAGTTATGGGAAGGCATGGCCAGAGGCAGGCAGGGGGGTGGAGCTGACACTTTTGGCAGCTTTTCTCCATTACCTTGGCTTAAAGTGATTATGAAAGTACAACCTTAGCTATCACTTCAGGCAGGGAAAASAGTAATATTTTACTGACATAAAAGCTAAGCTAACTTTTTTTTCCCCAATAAATAGCTGCAGATATGACTGAGTGTACCAGTTACTCTCTGTTTCTAGCTCTGTTTCTAATGTTTCAAAGCTGACTCTGCTGAAATGTTCTCCAATGGAAAGAAGGCTGCATGGTTGGTCCCTCTGTCTCAAGTAGATAGATTTGGGCTGCAAACAAAAAGTTCTCTTGGAGGGCTTATCATCAGGGCTCATAAACCTCTTTTCTGGAAGAAAGCACTYAAAGTCTTCTTCACCAGGTGGCAGCAGTGGTCCACATGTAGGGTAATAGTCCAGGACTGTTAATACGGCCTGAAGACGGATTGAGATGTCACTGAGTTCACAGTGATGGAATACAGTGACAAGTTTTCTCAGTCCCATCCTTTTAAAGAATTGAACAAGTTCATTAATATATATGGAACAAAAGATCAGTCTGATGCRTGGAATATCTTGTATAAAGAACACTGATGGCAAAAAAACCTTCGATGTCAGATTTTACTGAAAGATACATACAGATTTTATGTTGTTTTCAGTTGAGATGACAGTCTATTATATTTTTGACTTTTTTAAATTTTGGATTTAGTGCATAGGCCTTCTTCAAGATCTTAATCTTTAAACAGACATGATCTATATGCTTAACAGATCTATATGATCTGTTTGCTTAATGTTTAGCTCTCTTTATACTGACTTTTCTAGGATATTAAGGAAAAATAAAAACAGAGAAAAGTATGCCTTATTATTCATGAAAAAATCCTGTATATTATACCCAAAGTATTCAAAATTACAATTTTGGTAATATTAAATTGTTTAGCTGAAAGGCTGACAAAGGCAGACACTAGTACACAGTGAATCTCTACCAACATTCTCCTTCTCAAAAAAAAACCCAAAACCATCTCAAAATATATTATCCTTGATATTAATCCTCCTTGCTGAATTACATTTTTCTAAAAAGAAGCACACTTTAGAAAAATAGCTTAATAAAATGTGTCAAATAAGTTTAATAAATGTCAAAACTGAATGTTTTGGACTATATATATAGACTACTTGCACCCTACCAAACAATGACCAAAAAAAAAAAAAAATCCAGTTATTTCCATTTATTAAACATGATCTCAGAAATACCCAAGTCACATAAATTCAGGTAAATCAGTGAATCATGTTACAGCATCATTATTTTTTATTTTGTCTTAGATAATGTGAAACATTATTCGAACTCATCTGTTTGGTCACCTCAATAAAGTTACATTCTCATTAACACACATAAGTTCAGAATGACATTTATATTATGGAACAGTAGAGTCTACTTACTCATTTAGTATCAAATCTGGTGCAAAATATAACATCTGACCACTGACATGTTTGTACGATCTCCATCCCATTGCAAAGACCATTAGACTCATCCAGGAATACTGGATGAGGGTTATCTGATCATCGATATGCAAATTCCGAAACCCTGGAGATGAAATAAAAAGTTAAAATACATTACGGTCCTTATTTAGACAGAAGAGTAGGTGTTCTTTAGATCACAACTTTGTATATAAGCTCTAAAACAGTGTATAACTAGAAAACTTTGGATAGCTAAGAAGAAAAATAGGAATAACTAGCRAAACATGTGTTTTTGAGGACAGAGCTCTAGGAAGCTTGTGCAGTTCATATAATAACTGATCACTTTAATGTAACCTATTCTTTATCTTTTCCAGTATTTTGAAATGATCAAACCAAAATTAACTTTAACAGTCAGTGGTGGTAAAATTATATTTAGAAAATATGAATGAATCTCATTCTTCTTCAGTAAAAATATTACATCTTTACCATAATCAATCAAATAAAGTTGCAATACAATAACTATCCACCTATGAATATCCTTCTTGAATTTAACTACAGAGAAATGTTTTCAGTTGTGAATCACAGTGGAAGAAGATGCATACTTTACTTTACAACCTTTAGCTCTTTCATAACTTTGAAGATTGTTATGATGCAGCAGAGTCAATCTACCAGCTCTCTGCTGCTGAAAGCAGTGGTCCATTACCTAGTCCTGTTACCTCTTTCAAGCCACCTCTGGCCTTCATGTTACCCCTCAGTAAGCCGATTCAGCTCATGAAGCCATCAGAAAACTACAGAGGGGAAAAAAAAGATTTGTTTTGTTCTCACTTAATGAGATGAATCAGTTCGACTAAGAGGTCAGACAAGAGCAAGCTGCACCTGCAAGGAGCAGCAAATGAGACCCCTTCCTGTAGTTGTGAGCTATCAACTTGTGCTCACATGAAACCATATTTCCAGGCTTCCCAGCTCAACATAGCAGCTTTCACAGATCCCAGGATTAAGTTCCTATGAGCATACACAACATGTAGATATATAACATGACTTTTTTTGTGTGTATGTGTGTGTATGTGTGAGCCAGCTCTGGATCCTCACAGTACAGTTATGTTTGGATAGCAGTCTATTTGTGTGACGCTTAGTCCTAACCATTATTTTTTATTATAATTTTCTCTGTTGTTTTTAAAATTCATTTTAACTGGAATAAGAACAGAGAATGTTCAGAAATCTAAATATTCTCATGCCAAAAGAATGAATAGCAGAGTAGAGGGGCAGAGAGTGGAAAGGTTACTATAATTGCCAAATACAGGAATACCTAGGCTGTTTACTTTTTAATGCCTATTTTAAGGTTTTCCTTTAAGAAGAATGTGTTATTAAAATGCACTTTATTGGTGCATAGATTATCTGCTGAAGTCCTTATGCAATTTGTTAAGAATTAAGTAATAATCAGATAATAGAAAAACAGTGTACTCTTTTGACTGCTCATCATATGACATATTTGCTTAAACATCTTTTGACTGCTCATCATATGACATATTTGCTTAAACAGAATTATCTACATGTAAGAAGTGTTATTACCTGGTAGCAGTTTAGACCACTTGACTACACAAAGAAGTTGCCTCTCACAAAGATGATTTAAACTGGTCAGCAAGGAACTTGGTGTTTCAGGCTTTGTATTGTCATAACCAGCATAGACAACTTCTGGCTCTATACCTCGTAAAACACTCATCATTGGGGGAACAAACTGTATTTCTTGATTTGGAGAAAAGGATGGCCTCTGGGTTAGAGACTGGCTTTCATCTTGAAGGGCTGCTGGCTGCTGGAGTGCAACATCTAATGTCCTCACAACCTTAATTTTGTTAAACTTTTTAAATTTTCGACCTGAAAAAGAAAATTGTTGACCTGTTAAAAATTAACCAGAAAGATAAAACTTTTATTCTGTACACAGAAACTAGAATTGTCTTCTACATGTTTTCTATTTTTTGTTTCACAACCTAGATAATTTCTGAAAAAGTTGAAAAATTCTTAATTTACCCCCCTCCACATCCACCTCCCTGCCTTGAGAGATGAATTAATCCACCCATTAAAATTATTGCCATGAATTCTAGGTTACAGTAACCTGATAAAGTGTTTTCTGGTTCAGTTCCAATTGTTCTATAATATGCTGACAGTTCAGCCAAACTGCTCTACAGCTCAGTTTCTGGTCAATGTTACTTAATGATACTATTTCATTTTTTTTTCTCTAATATTCAGAAAAAAAAAAAAAAAAAACAAGTAAAATAATTATTACATGCAGAAATCTCTTTCCTCCCTCTTCCAAAAAAAGCATTTCAGTCTCATGGGTAATTTTTTTTTGATGATTAGTAATACTGCACTTCTTGTTTGCCACAAAAAATATAGTAAAATGATAAGTGAAAAGTTTATAAATGTTATGAAATCACATGTCAACACTTGAAGATCTACAGAATAATTTCACTTTTTCTGYAATTGCAATTCATATTTCCATGCTGCAGTGGTTTGAAGAACACTTAACTGCAAAATAAGGCTGAATAAGGCTAGGGAGGCTGAGCTGCCTCCCTGGATAAGCACAAATACTATGTCAAGTATAGCTATATAAATACCGAAAGCTTTAGGTAGTAATTCTTCAACTTTCTGTCATGGAAACATTCTAGAAGATCAAGGAATTTGAGTCTTAAGGGCTCCTGGACAGCAAGCCTCAGGAACAGATTATCACACTACGTATTTCAATAAAAAGATCCATCCATGTAGAGGTGGCTGRATGGAACTCAATCACTTCAAGTAAATTCTCAAAGGTGATGAAAACCCTAATTAAATAACTCAGGTCCTCAACTCTGCCAAAGTTGTTTTGCTGAGTGAAAAAAAAGGGGGGAGGGGGTGTCAGAACAAACTAAAATGCAACAAAAAAGCTGATATRTATGGTCTGATTTACATGACCCGGGTCAATAAAAGAAAAGATGAAATGTGACAGGAGACAAAGATTAAGTCCTCCTAACAAAGGAGACWTAAAGACAAAAGAGCTTACATCCTTCACCTTAAAGTAAACTACGAGCCAGGGGAAGGTTCTGCTGTAAGAAAACTCAGAAATCCCATGCATATTTCTACTGTCCTAAGAGTTTTTGCATACTTAATCAATAAAAGAAAAAGACAGAGAAGCACAAAATATCATTAAATGTAAAGAAATTCCACCCCTATGAAACTCGTGCATTATTGAGAAACTGTATTTTAAAACAGCAACATGCAAAAAAAATGTAAAATATTTAACAGAAAAGGTAACAACGATATTAACGTATCTTTATGTGCTTGATTTAAAAGCCAGCTTATATCAGACATAGCAAATTACATTTTTCAAACCTTTAAATCAGATGGTGCATTTATTTTTGAGTAGACAATTAGACAGGGAARCAGCCACAAATGTACCTCCATTTCATACTGCCTTCCTTTTTCTTTTACTTTAAAGCATTGCTGCGCACTGTCAGGATGCAGCCAGTGCAACAACGGGCTTTAGGACACTCCTGAAGAGTGGAGAGGCTCACCTAAACACAGGCACATGCTCTGGCTCCTACACAAAACTTGTTTCTGATTTTTGAATTTAGAAGGAATCTAGAGATATTAGCCAAGTCAATTTTAGTTATTACTTTCCACCTTAAAAAGGAGGAAAACACAAGAAATACAGGAAAATAAGAAATAAGTTCATAAGAATGGTTTAACTGAGAAAGTTGTCTACTTATTTTTCTCAAATGCTGCCAAATAAAAGGTGACATCAAATTCTATCCTATTTCCTCACTGGAAATTCAGTGTTGCCATTTAGGATGACGTAGGATAAAGCCTTGGGAGAATTAAAATCACCCATTAAAAGCATTTGTTAATACATCAGTAATAAAGCATCAAGCAAGATTAATACACCAAACACAGAAAGATTCACTCATTTCTAAATATTTTACACAGAGCTAATTTGGTTATTTAAATTACTTACTCTTAATGTTCATTGGCATAACTGAAAGAAGAATTAATTCTCATGTTTTTGAACCAGACAGGATTGAGCAGATGAATGCAATCTAAGATCCTAAAATTGACTTTCTTTTTTAAACTCTTTAAAGAATCCTATCATAAATACTCATATATTTAAGCATTTCACATGTAAATAAAAAGATGTACAAAAGCTGAAAAAAAATGAGTGAATTAGTGGGCTGGAAAGTTGGGCAGAGAGAAATCTCATGAGGTTCAATAAGGATAAGTCAGGGTCCTGCACCTGGGGAGGAATAACCCCAGGCATCAGTACAGATTAGG